GACGTTTATTAAATGATGATTTCACGAAGGTCCTGCCTCTATTGGCAGGCAGTGTTAGGAGTGATCTCAACTATGATGGAATTTCAGTATATGACCATTCTTCATTCCAATAATTTTCCTTTATGTTTACTGGGTTTATCCTTTGAGCTCATATATGTACAGATTGTCTAGAATATAATTGCTTTGAGGGCTGGGACTTCTTTGTTTTTGTCTTTGTATGTGCCTGACACTCATTTTTCAATTACTCCGTTTTGATTGATTGATTGATTACAAATATGTTCCTTGACCGTTTGGTAGAGAACAATATATCCTGTCTAGGAAAAGAAATAGCATGATATTGAAGAAAAAGGCATTGTAGCAGTGGGGGGACAGGAAGACCATATTAGTAATATTGTCCAAACCACGTCTACCCCCATGACCAGCTCCCCTCAGATCCCGGGGAGATCACCCAGAACTCAGTCCCTCAGAGTTCTGTGGTTTAGTATCAGAAATGGATGTGGTTTTATCTATCAAAATGACAGTGAAGAAGATGTAGTTTTTCACCAGCCTTCTCTTCCCTTGGCACTCCAGACAATTGAATCACTGGATTACATCCAGCCCCTCTCCCCAGCCCTTGTCATCTTCTCTGCTACCGGCGATTAAGACCTTTAGGCTTTTCCGTCTTCCCTAAAGTGAAATCTTCCTCCATGCGTTGCCTACTCCAAGTGGAATGTGAACACCTCAAGAATAAGGGGAGACTTGCTTTTCTGTGTGTACCCCTAATTCCTAGAACACTGCTTTGAACATAGTAAATTATTAATAAATGCATTAATTTGGGGCAGCGAGGTGGTACAGTGGATAGAGCACGGGGCCCTGGAGTCAAGATAACCTGAGTTCAAATGCGACCTCAAACACTAACTAACTGTGTGACCCTGAGCAATTCACTTAACCCTCATTGCCTCACAAAATAAATAAATAAGCTCATTCATTCATTCGAAGAGCCTTGGACTTTGAGTCAGAAGACTTAGGTTCAAGTCTTCTTCTTCTACCACTCAGGAACTATGTAAAGATGAAGAAATGAGTTAACTTGCCTGGTCCTCAGTTCCTTACCTTTGAAGTAGGTATAATAGTTCCGACATTATCTGCCTGTTCTTAGGGAGAATTTTGTAAATGATAGAGTGCTACATAAGCATGAATTATTATCATTAGTCCATTTAGTTATACAATGACCTCCCTTCTCAATATTTCATCCCTCACATATGTGATTTTTGTTAAGGTAATTCCCTTAACATTCTCCTTTTGTGAGTTTTTTCCATGGAAAGCAAAACCCGAAGGCCAACTTGATTCTTTTTGTTTCCTGTAAAGGGCTTTGTAGACACTATAGTGTTATGTGAGTGACTTTCTCTTTGAATAAAACTTGGATGTGAATAAAAAAACTTACTCTTTAACCACTGCTCTAAAGGTAAGATGTTGGTTTGGAAAGCATCGCCAGACATTTCCCTTTGCCTCCTTTATGTGGTTTTATTTATTGATTATTATTATTATTATTTTAGTATTCAGATTTAGATGTCATAGGAACAGTCCCAAATTTAGGAAACCTCCAATCCTTTCCAAAGCAGGAAGACTGATAGCACAGGAGCCTTTAACTTCATTAAGCTTTCAACAAGGCTCTGTAATTTTAGCCAAATTGTTCAGATGTATTTGTTTTTAAGTAAAAGCCAGCAGACCTCCAGAGTGCCCTCCAAGCATTTCTGGAGTTACTTTTGATAATTAGGCTGATGCCCATTAGAAGTGCTCTCGAGATTTCCAACAACAAGTATTTTTTGACCATTTTCCGAAGTTCACAGCAGGGGACAGAGGTCAGAGTGCTGGCTGATCCAATGTTCCAGCATCCTTGCCTGGGTCTGTCACGGCACCCGGGGGTGAGCTGATTTCAGTAGCTCTGTCACCGTCTGGAATGAAACGGCCCAGTTGGGACCCTAAAAGTGATTGGAAACTCTAGCCAATCTGTTCATCTCTCCCGGAAAATGACCTGCTCCACTGATTATCACCACAAGATATGACAGAATGGTGCCTGGGATTTAAATTACCATATTTAATTAAATATAAAATACTGAAATGCTTGGGGAAATTCACTAATGAGATTTCAGGGACTGTAATATATTACCATCTTTCCCCCTTCTTTCTCACAGCAGATTTTTTACACCATCAAAGTATTTTCTTTGGCAAACACATATCTTGCTTTATGAGAAAGTGTACATTTTTAATAATTTATCATTTGAAATCTATTTTCCCCATAATTTAATTTAACTCTGTTCTTTCCACATAAAACATGGAAGTCAATAAGCAAAGCCAATTGACTGTTTGGAAACTATGTAGCATCTATGAAAAAAAAAAGACCTGTTTGTTCAGGTTTTTCAAACGTGGGCAGTAAAGATGTAGGAAGTGGCCCACAATGCATTTTGAGGAGGTAGTAGTAGATTTCATTTTGCCAGTTCTTAAAGTCTGGGCATCAACCCCAACCTGTGTGAGGTTAAACTCAACATACTCAGATTGTACCCTCATCTTCTCAGCAGGACAAGACCAAGATATGAGTAGGTCAAAAAGAAATCTAAATATAATGATATTGCATACCCTACCTGAGGTTGGTTGTATGTCCTCTGCGGTTCAAATGAAGAGGTCACCGTGCTATGAAAAAGAAATGAATAGAATCACAGGCTTTTAGCTGTTCTCTTCCAGGACCCTCGGGGCTTGTTAGCTAACCTCCCAATCTTCTTTTCCAGTTGACTTCAAAGCAATAGTCTTAGGAAATTTCAATTAGATTGTTTAAAACCTCCCCCTCCCATTTCTTACTGGGAGATATATTTCTCACATGGCAAAATCATATAAATTTTTTTTAACAAAATGATAATCTGATTATTACCCACTCTTTTCTTTATTCTGAGTAAATTAGTGGGTCATGATGTGAATAGCTTACACAAAAGCACTTTCACATTATTTTCCTTTAGAACTATTATTCTTTCACTGATTACACGGCAGTCTTTCATTTTAACCTTGAGCAAATCTGTTGACCCTGAACCAGCACCTCTACTTTATGCCTTCTCATTAATGATCTAAGACCATTACTGGCTCTCCCATTTGGAGTTTGTTTATACCCTCTGATTATCTCATTTGAGTTATCACATTAATGACCTCAGACCCCTTTGACCTTCATTCTGCCTTAGCCTCTGTGGTCAGGCAATAATTACCTGTTAATGACTGGCTTCCCTTTTTTTTCCTAAATAATTTACTATCTATCTTTCTAAAGTCTAAGGGACATGTTCAGTGATTTGCAGAATTTTATCTTCAACCCACCTAAACTCTAGGATGACATGGTCACTTCCCCCTCCCCCAAAGTCCTCATTATTTCAACTTAACTTCCCAGTTCTCCTTATAGTATGTATTCCACTCAATTCTGGAATCGCACATTACTTGAGTTAAATGTAGGGTATTTTGACCATCATAGTTAACACCATTTGGCCCAAGGCCCCATCCCAGAGTAAACTGAGAAGGTCTCAAGTTAAACTCAGATCTAGGTGTCCAGTGGCAACCCTACCAACAGAGTAGATAGGCATCATAACACAAATAACACAATATTGAATCGGGGCAGAAATACAAAGTGAATAAGAAGAAGAAGTCAAGTAATAGAGAATATTCCTTCATCCCAGCAGCAGGCATGTAAGTCAAGGTCATGCTTGATGAGAGAATTAGTAAGGAATAGTGTGATTTTCCAATAATATTCTGAATATTATAAGTTATAGAGCTGGAAGGAGTCTCAAGGGCTATTGAAACCAAGTGCCATCTTTTACAAATAAGGAAAATGAGTCCCATAGAGGTTAAGTGACTGTAGTAAAAGCACTCTTTCCATTGTACTGCCCTGTAGTAGACCACCTCTGGTACTGTCACACAACTGACTGAAAGATATACAAAATACAAGATCCCCTTGTGTTTATTTAAAAAAAAACCGCTTGATTCAGGAGAACAAAACTCTGGTCCATATCTTCCTGTAAATCCTCCCTAGCAGGTCCAGCCGACATGCTAAAGGGGTGCTTTCTCTGGAACTCTGGGCATCCAGTGAATCATATGAGTTGACTATCAGGTATCACACACTCTCACTATGACTGCCCATTCTTTTTTTTCCCCTAGTCCTACATCTCTCCAATAGTATCCTTTGCACCATTTCTCCCAGGCAGTTATTCAGCAATGACATGTTGTACACTTGTATTGGAGCTCCAGCTTTCTTATTTTTTTTTAAGGCATTTGGGGTTAAGTGACATGCCCAGGACCACACAGTTAGTGAGTGTCGAGTGTTTGGTCTGAGGCCGGATTTGAACTCAGATCTTCCTGACTTCAGGGCTGGTGCTCTATCCACCGCACCATTTAGCTGCTCCGGAACTCCAGCTTTAAGAACTAAACTGAATCCTGTTGTCCCTCCAAGTACGAGAGAGAGAGAGAGAGAGAGAGAGAGAGAGAGAGAGAGAGAGAGAGATGTAAATTCTAGAACATCAGAATTGTTTTCTATTTTAAGGTCGTGAAAAGACTTATAAATGCAACTACAGGGAAAATAGCAAGCAATCAATTGTTCAATCCATGAGCATCTGGTAAGTGCCTGCTAAGTGCCAGGCAGGTGCTAGATGCTGGGAAACCAAAGCGAGATCATGCCTGCCCTCAAGGAGCTTAAAGTCTACTGGGAAGATCCAGTACAGAGCACAGGCAAGGAAAGCGAGTCTGTAAACAAACACACAAAGGAAGAGGTACCATTTATACCAGGGGCAATCTAAGGCCTCTTGAAAGAGGTGGTCCTGGAACTGAGTTGTGAGGTTAAATTCTAAGTAGAGCTTAAGAACGTGTGTGGACCAGAAAAAGGATTTGTTCACTTCTCTGCAAAAACAAAAACAAAGCACCCCTCCCCACCAAACTCTGTCTCACCCTCCCCCCATTGCCTTGGGTCCTAACAATGTGGGTTTGCTGTTTTTAAACAGGTGATCCAGGAAATTATAGACAAGGAAGATGAAGAAGGTCTAAAGAAGGCCAAAAAGAAGGAGGCGAAGGAGGAAAAGGAAAAGAAAGAAAAAAAGAAAAAGAAAGAAAAGACAGAAAAAAGGGAAAGCAAAAAGGTAAAATAAATAGAAAAATATACGTCTTTACCTTTTTGGCAGGTGCCACCCAGAGCTGCCCACTCCCGCATTATAAGTCGCTTCTCTTTTCTTGGTCAATGAGCCCACCAGTGTAGACATTTGTCGGAATATAAGACATTCATTTTCTTAGGGGGTAAAAAACAGCTCACCTTGGATCAGCTGGTGATTTTTGTTTGTTTTTAATGTTGGAGGCCACAGCTTTCCTGTCCACTAACCTTGAAGAAGGAAAAGAAGGAAAGAGTGAAGGAAAAAGAAGGAAACTGACCACTCCTAGGGTTTCCTTATAAGCAAGGCTGAAAGTTGTGGTTCCAAGGGTCTGGAAAGTATTGAGATTTTGGGTCTCAGAAGTTGTACTTTCTTCAGCAGCAAGGTTAGGGAAAAAATGTGCTGACAAGGAATGACCAGAAGACTAAAATAAATGGGGTTTGGATTTTTTTCTTGCCAGAGTATTAGCGGCTGTGTACGTGACTTAGACATTGGTTCCCTCCCCCTTTTTTTAAACCTTTTTCCACTATCCCAGAAAAATTGAACCCGTATTATGATATTTATAAGTCCCGTGCTGTTATGGGAGAAGTATCTCCTCTCTGACTCATGTAGTGGGTAAGTGCTGCCAGATACATACTTACTACAGCCCAGAAGTTATGGAGGTAAAAACCTTTTGTTACTCTGCAGTCCTCATCCAACTTGTGCCATCCCATTTCGGGTTTTCTTGGGAGAGATGCTGGACTGGTTTGCCATTTCCTTCTTCAGCTCATTCTACCTATGAGGAATTGAGGCAAACAGGGTGAAATGACTTTCCCAGAGTCACACAACTATTTAGAGTCTGAGACTGGATTTGAACTCATGAAGATGAGTCTTCCTGACTTCAAGCCTGGCATTTATTATGCTCAAGCCGGGGTTCAGGCCTCAGAGAAAAATCAAATCCCAATTAGGATCCTTATAAGTCCTCACATAGGCAATATGACATCAAAGTAACAGAAAAGTTATAAAATGTAAAGAGAAGACAGACCCATAATCCCACACTTCCTTCAATGTCATAAAAGTGGAACAAACTTAAACAGAGTCATAACTGCCTATGTCTCCTAAGGAAACAAACCTCATCCATCAAACAAACTCTAGATAAACTAAGTCAGGTTACAGATTGTTGTTCGTCCTTCTTTCAAAGAGGACTGATGACATGAGGAGGTGATGTCTTGACTCGAACTTGAACTGGATTTAAGTGAGACAGAGCTGAGCAAAGTCTAGGAGAAGTTACAGAGTGAACTACGCCTAGAGGAGTCACTCATAGGCTGATTGAAGAGAAGGACTTCCATGGCACCAAGGAGTCAGGGACATTGGGGAGGAGCTGCTATTGAGATGATGCTTTTTGGTTTATAAAGTGATAGACATCCTTAAGTCACCAAGCGAGGGGGGGAATCCAAGTATTTCCCTCCCCCCCATTTTACAAATGGAGAAACTGAGTCTCAGAGATGATACATGGCATTGTCATGGTCATTTTAGGGAAATTTTCGATTTCCTTTTATTATTTGGGACTCAGGGCCATTCTACCTGCAAATTATGGTGAAATGAAAGTCCGTTTTCATATTAACCTCACCTGATCAAAACTTGTCCCATGGGATACGAAATTTTACATAGAGCCTTAACCTTTAGATAAGAAGCCAGAGGAAGAATCCCTAGCTTAGCTGGAAAAGGCCAGGACCTGGTGGGACACAAAGGCCAGTGGGAGTCAAATGGTGTTTTATGGCCAGCCGAGAAAGCTAATGCAGTCTGAGGCTGTGTTAAGAGGAGCATTGTGTCCAGGAATAGGGAGGTGATAGTCCCCTCTCAGTCTTTCTTGGCCAAAACACATTTGGAGTACCTTATTCTGTTCTGTGTGCCATGTTTTAGGGAGGGAGAGAGGAAGGAAGGAAGGCAGGAAGGGAGGGAGGTAGGAAGGGAAGGAAGGAAGGAGGGAAGGAAAGGAAAGGAAAGGAAAGGAAAGGAAAGGAAAGGAAAGGAAA